CTTCTCCAGCAAAAGGAGCCCTGCCCCCTGTGTTTTAGGGCCAATCTATGGCTCTGAAATGTGATGGACAGGCTGCTGGTCAGGCCTGGGCCAATTGCACAGGCTAGTTACACCTCTGTGATGAYGTATGGTCTTGTACTTAAGAGGAATTCAAAACAAGATAGGGGCAGTCACCATTAGTTTCTRGGTTGTTAGTATCATCCCCTGYAYTAGGGGAGGACAGAGGAGGAGGGTGMGGAGATGTAAGAAAAAATGGAGACCCAAGATCACAGTGAGAAGGAGAAAGAAGAAGGGTGTTYCTTGTGGTGCTCAACCRTGGGAAAAGACTGTTCTCGAAGGTGACTGTCTTTCGTGAGAGACTTGTGAAGAGTGAGAGATCCTGCATTGGTCTTGGATGGGCTGGACTAAATCATAAGCCCAGGGTGAGGGGGAAAGAGGTGCCCCCTCCTGCCCATGTCTGGAGCAAGTGGATGCTTAGAAGAAACTGTGTTCTGCCAGGAGATTTGAGAGAGTGGCCTTGCCCTCAGAATGAAGCATGCCAGCGTTGGAGGACTGTTTCCCTTTTTCCCATGAGGTAAAGAAAAGAATCTCATGCCATCAGCAGTTATACCCTGACTGTTTCTTGGGATAAGAATCTCCACAGCTTGGAGCTATAAGGACTCTTCTCCTGTTGTGCTGGATGACAACTGTAATGAGTAGTCTGATCTATGTTAAAACTCTCACCTCCAGCCTCGGTTACACGTGGGAAAGAATGGAGGGGTGGGGAGGGACAACCTGGGAGAGACAGGTTTGCAGAGAGAATAACAGGTGTCTTAAAATGTCCATTTTTTTTCTTCTCCTTGTAAATTTTTCCCTATCTTTGTTCCCCTCCCCGGTGCGGTAGTACTCTTAGTAGTTTTTTTGAGTAATAAATCTATTTTGCAACTTAAGTTATTTCAGCCTGTCTGGCCATTTCTGGCCATTTATATATATATATATATATATATGTTTCAATTATGTTATCTTACCTAAAAGCCATAACTTGTTAATTGGGTTTTTGCTGTCCCCTCTGCCTCTGTGGGGTGGGGGGAGGCAGAACATCGTGGGTGCTTTGGCTTTCAGCCAAGGTCTAAACCACAACATCCGCACATTCTTTTTTTTTTTTCTTTTCTAGTCTGTGCTGTGTTTTCTGGTTTTTCCCTTGGTTTGTTTTGGATGTGAAATAGAAATACCGTATTGGTCTGAGAAGAGGCTAACAACAGCATGAGAACAAACCACAAGGAAGAAGCACAAATTTACTGAGAACCAAGTGTTGTAGCTGCATTCTTCCCAGAAATAGGCTTATTTGTTTTCCTCTCCAACTTACACATTGCAGCCACTTCTGGACTGGAGAGACAGAAGGTACTAACATTAATTAGATGCTTCATTTTTGAAATATAAGCCCTTGATGTTKTATGTTTGTGTTTTTCTTTTATGAATGCTGAAGGATTTTGCTGGCAGAAAACGTGAGTTTTGAATTAAACATATGATTTCACCCTGTCTTCCTCAAAAACTTAAAATTATTGATGTAAAAGACATATCAAAGGGTCAGGTGTCTTTACTGGATGCCACCTGCATGAAGCTCTCTAGGAATGTAGCCAGGCTTCTCCAGCCATGCTGCAASCTCCCTCTTGTTTTCCAGGAGTGTAAACTATCCCATGCAGATGTTTCACAGCAAACCTAAGCCAGAACAGCCCAAACTGCATCATGCTGTAAATGGTTTCTATGGGGAAAAATACCTAATCAGTTTTTATGCTGCAGTTTGAGCATGTGGCAGGCTGGTCTTCGCAATCTCTTGACAAAAGAAATAGCTCAAAAAAATCAAGCTAATACCAGAAAATCCCCAAATCATTTAATCTGGTCATGCCATGTGTCATGACATTATACATTTGAATTTTTCACTATAAGAACGGATTCTTCACTATGGGGTTGGAACTAGATGATCTTTAGGGTCCYTTTCAACTAAAATCATKCTATGATTCTATGTGTCAACTGGAATAGAAAAAATGGGGGTTTTACCAATCTGCATTTAATTTCTTATTCTGCTGTTCATCCGTCTCCTATATTCTGCTTTTACAGGTGAACCTTTCAGAGCTTCTAAGCACAAAAGGCTTGTGCTGAAGCAATGAAGACTGTGCTGGATCTGAGTGATGGGAACATCACCTAGCAATGATAGGTTTTGCATTGGTACTGAATTGCCAGTTGAAAAGCCACAAGGGAATGTTGTTTTAGAGAAAAYKTKTTAATCTCACCAAGCTGTTCAGATRGTGGGAAGCACAGCTGTGGCTTCCAAGTCATGAAGTATGCAGAAGTCCTTTTCACGTAGCCTATGCCTGCAGGTGACCAATATCTTGTCTCTCATCGACACCGATCCTCATATTGTCTCTCATGAGCCGATCCAACAGTATGGTGCAGTGTGAGCTCTGCCTTAGCTTGGTACATTTATAAGAATGCACTTCTTTTTCCAGTGGAAATCTTTTATAATAACAAGGGGTAGTGGTTTTGTGTGTGTGACACTTCTCTATGATGTAGCAGCTGGGGACATGGTTTAGTGGTGAACACAGTGSTGCTGGTTTAAGGAGTACTCAAGGATCTTGGAGGTCCTTTTCCAACCTTAATGACTCTATGGWTAGTGTTTTTCTTATYYTCRGGCCTTTCTTCCCAAATAAACACCAGTAGGTTGCTGATCRGTTCCCTCCTTTGGAGAAAGCATGCCTTTGTGGTGAAGAGGCTTAACAAGGGCTCACATCACCAGAATCTCTGACCCCAGGCTAATAAATCACTTGCTCTGCTCTTTGCCTTGGCTCCCTGAGCCTTTGGCCATCTACCTTCTCCACAGAGTAAAGATAAAATCCATTCGTGATTCTGAGTTGCTTGGATACTGCAGGTGCTTAGGGAAAAATTAAAAGTACATAAATTAAAAAATACGTCTTTTAGAGTATTTTCTCTGGTCTCCAATCCTCAGGTAATTAATCACCTGCTGTGTCTTCTCTTGGGCCAGTTTGCCATCCCAAGCTGCTGCTCATCTGGTGTTGCTCAGAAGCTTTCCACAAGGCCCTGCAACTTCTCTCCCAAATTAGCAGCTTTTAATCGGCAAATCATCACTCTCTTCCAGCACAATTTCTCCCCTGCAATGTTCCCGGTGATGCCTGAAGAATAAGACCCAACTGGCATCCTCTTCTAGGGCTTTCCCCACATTATCTGCTCCTCAGAGGAAGATGTGTTCAATTTTAGCCTTATTTTGCTCTTAGATTATATGTTATTTATATAGAGAGATATTATCTGACTACTATCTATAACCTTTATTACTTAATTCAAGTCAAAGTTTATGAATTAAACTAAGAAATCCATAGAAGACATAGCTATGACTGTACAAATACAACCATGCAGTGATGTCCAGGGTATTTGTAGTTCTGATACGAGATAAAGTCTTTTTCAGGGATAGGTTAAGATGATTTAGATGAATTCAAAGGAATTGTACAAATCAACCACTCCATCCTAATGGTAGTAGTGCTACACTGGGTGAAACCTGCTTATGAGCTTCAATTGCATTATTTTTTAAACATTTTAAACTGCCTCTTCTGTTCCCAAATTATCTTCCCACTATGTGGAAGGTCAGGAGACACCACTTCAGTGACTATAAAAGAACTGGAAGTCACCCTGGCTCCTTCGGAATCTTCAAAAGCCACTTTTATCTTTTATTATTCCCTTTCTCCTGATTTATATGCATGGTCCCAGTAGCCTAACTTCATGGGCTACAACTCTCCCAGTAATTCAGACAGGGTCAGAGCATGGTCATGAGGTTGTCAAGACCTTAACACAGTAACTGCTATTCATGCAAAGCAACCTGAAATGCCTATTCAGAGATCTAAGCACATGCTTCACAGCAAAATCCTCCTGAATGGAAGCCATGAAGCAAAACTCAGCATTTGCTCAAATGCAAAAAAAAAAAAAAAAAATTCTTTACATTGCAAAACAAAACCTCACTTGAAAATTATAGAATCACAGATTGGTTTGGATTTGAAGTGACTTTGGAGCTCATCCCCTACCTTCCACTAGATGAGGTTGCTCCAGCTTGATATCCAGCCTGGCCTTGAACACTTCCAGGGATGCACAGCTTCTCTGGGCAACCTGTGTAAGGGCCTCACCACCCTCATAGGGAAGAATTTCTTCATAATATCCAATCCAAATTTAAGTGTCTTCATCTTAAAACCTAATCCATGTCTTCATGTCACTGGGTTCTTTGTTTTAGAAAGACCTGTCTTTAAATGGTTGACTTCACATCTAAGCTGGTTTTCCTCATCCTTCTGTAGCTGATCRTAAATATACTGCAGTGAATTCCATTTATTAGATAACATTTGTAAGGTGACATGAACAATACTTTATACATTACCGATAATACATACTCCCTGTCTAGGACACTGAAATCTAAAGTAGTCAAGTTAAACACATGGCAGGGCATGAGAAAATATTTCATCACAAGGATTATCTGAGGTTGCCAGGGATTAGAAAAGAGGAGTGCTGCTTGGAGAACTGAATTTTAAGCACTGCTTTGAAGAAAAGAGGATGTTTGGTAGATGAACACAGAAAGGCACAAGGAATTTGAAGAGATAACAAAGAAATCAGATTAGAAGACAGAGATAAACCAGATTAGAAGACAGAGATAAACCAGTGTACTGGGAAATAATAGTCTGGATCTTGGTCCTGGCAGGAAGAATTCCAGTTATGAAGGCTGGGGACTAGTGCAGCTAGAAAACAAGAGGTTTTAGGACAGCTGTGTTTATAACTTCTACTGTGTGATTGCATACTGTGTGATGTGTTGGTCTCCMAGATGGAAGTGTAGACTTGGGAATGAAAGAAAAGCATGAGTGATGTGCTGCACCAAGGACAGAAAAGGAGGAAAAAGAGTAGAAGGTCTGGGAGTCAGTGGAAGGTGGAGAGGTGGGATCTGGAAGAAAAATGTGTTCATTTCTGGGAACAAGAAGTGTGTTCGAAATGCAGGTCTTGGTAGTGAGAGGTCCCCGTGTGGAGATAAGAGGCAAGAGAAGTCAAAACCTGGTGCCAAGGCCCAGCATCACAGCTGGATGGCAGGAGAAGCAAGGACTAAATACTTCAGGAGAGAAGGTGGATAGAAGGAAACATGGAGAACCAAAATCATGCTCCAGCCCAATACCAATACACAGAATAAAACTAAAGATAAAGGAGCACTTGCAGAAAGGTATGTGGGAAAATATTCAGGGACACCTTCTCCAGCTTTGTTCTGTCATTGTTCCCTCTGTCTTCTCCAATGTAGAGAGGCCAACTGCTTCTGCCTGGATGTGGCCACTGTTGCTTATAGAATCAAGGTATGGTGTTGGAGGTTAGGATTTTTTCTTTTGTTTTTCTTTCTCTTAACGAATTTTCTCCCATTTTGTCCCTAAGGAGTGATTACGACCGGGTAGTTAAGAGAGACAAAAGAAGTTGCCAAACTCAAGGGAGGAGGGTACCTGGCTACAATTCTCTTATCTGAGTTTCCCCGGGAGGATATTGAAGACATCGCAAGAATTGGCTGGGAAAGGCGGGGGCTGGGGCAGCTCCTTGCTCTCTTGCCCTCTTGGTTTCGGAGAACAGTTGTGCTACGCTGTTTGGAGGGTAGAATTCGCTCCTGCCGTGGAGCACAGGGTCCTGCTTTTCTCCTGCCGTGGGTGAGCCTTTGCCTGTGGGAGTGGCTGTCACATTGTGACCCAACCTCACCAAAGGACCCTTCACCATYTGCTCCRGCACCTGGGGAAATGCCAGGATCCCCGAGCCCCTCCCGCTCCAAGGCAATCTCTCTTGGCTGGATTCAGGAGCCGGGTGGTCACTGCCCAGCTCCTGCTGTTTCTCTGCCACTGCTCCGAGGTGTCTTGGCCACACTAACTCGCATCCCCTCTCATGACAGGAGCCCCACGGTTCTGTCACCGAAACTGCGGGAAAAAGAAAACCCTCTAATACTATATTTGGAGTGACAGAGAATCAGGCATTACTTTATTTACTGGCCAGGATGTTGTTCTGGCCAGGATGTGCCACAGAAATAATTTCATCCACACATAGCCCGGGTGTGCAGAGACAATTATTCAAGGACACATAAATTTTACAAGATTTCCCCCAAACTTTATACAGTCAAAACCCATAGAACTCTATTGGTTTAATATTCATTAGTCCAACATTGCGCAGTTCTCAGTATTTGGTTTCCTATTGGATCTGGATTTCTGATGCTAATTAGGTKCTCCTTCTTATCTTTTTTTATCCTAGACCATTGTTTGTTGGTGTTGCCGTTGTTGTTGTTTGTTTGCCTTGTTATACATACTAGTAAAGGACTGTTATTCCTTTTCTCATATCTTTGCCTGAAAGCCCCATAATTTCAAAGTTACAATGATTCAGAGGGAAGGGGGGTCGTAGTCTCCATTCCAAGGGAGTTCCCTGCCTTCCTTGGCAGACACTTGTCTTTCAAACCAAGACAAATGGTTTGATTTGGAAGGGGCATTAAAGATCACCTRGTCCAACTCCYTGCCATGGACAGGGACACCTTCCACTAGATCAGATGGACTTCCAAAACCACAAGCCTGTGCTTTTCCATTCTGTGCCTTATCCTTGATAAAATTCCCCTTCAGATAAATCTAACCTTGCAGAAACTTCGGTGGCTTTTGTTGACCGTGTCTGTGGCTTCCCTGTACTCCCCTGGCTGTGTTCACCAGTCTGCCTCTTGCTTTACTCTTTGAGTGTCAGTCAAGCAGACCCTTCAGCTGACCTTCAGGGTGCTGCAGTGATGCAGAAAAGCTATGTCCTGGTCTAGGTTTTCCACCCTGATAGCTGATGCAGAATGGGTTATCACCCTTCTCTTGGCAGGATGGTGGAGCTCTTTCCCTTGGGTATAGTTATATGTGTCAGAAGGAGCACTCCACCTTTATGCTCCCCTAATTTGTACAAGAACATGAGTTAAAAATTTGCATCATGATGTGGATTCAGGATTTGGTTTGGGGCACCTAGCTGGACACAGAATCTGAGAAATTTCCTGGCTTAGCAATAAAATTCAGAGAGAATGAGCTGTCTCCAGCAGCACTAATGTAACCAAAGAGGGCCACYAGCAAGTGATGAGTGGGGAGGTGGGTAGATTAAAGACAAAAATAAAGAAACCCATTTTAAAAAATCCAGGAAGACAGCTTTTTCTTCTTCTTCTTCTTTTCTTTTTTTTTCC